AAGCTAAATGTATCCAGTTCTCCTCAGGCTTTATATTCTGGTCACGTTTAGACAACTTTAGATGGAGTGTGGTCAGCACTGTGCACATGGTAAATTCAACATTTCCACTAATTCCATCAGTATAACAGTCATGTCCTACTCACCATCAGTAATTATTATCAATCTGTTTCATTTTGCCATTTTGTGTCCTTGCTTTAAAGCTAAGTGAATGAAACGCAACACACAGCAGTTTGTTCATATGAAAATGTTCAAAGACTACAGCAAATGGGATGGTTTGTGCCTATTTATCCACTGGAGGACTTTTAAAGTGAAACATGTGTGCAGGAAGGGTTGAGTTTTCAATAGCAATTATCCATGGAAGCCACTGGAAATAACTGGTTAATGAAGACTGTTTTTGTTAGAGAAGGGAAATTACTAGAAAAAAGCTGTAGTCCTGATCTACACCTCAACATTATTAAGCATCTGAACTTTGAACATTTAGAACTTTTGCTCGTTGATGTGAGTCTTGCCGTGAGGTCAACATCATTCACTACAGGAACTGTGCAATGGAGGAACACTCTGCAGTAACATACCACTGTGGATGGATGTGGAAGATCAGGAACCATGTCCCAGTGCTGGTTCTCCAGAGCAGCCTTCAGTGTCAATGCCCACAGACTCTCCACAGCAGGCAGCTGCTGTCTGTTCCACCACACTGCTGCAGCAACCACTGACCTGTAAAGCAGATATTACACACTGTCTGTTCCGCACAACTACCACTGTCTTCTCTAATGAAACTCCTGCCTTATCTTTACAAACCCCTCATCCAGCGTGTGAATGAATGCATTATAGCAGCTTTTTGCAGTCTAAGTTTCCAGATGTATGAAAACTAGATTTAATCTTCGACTACCCGATAGAGGACAAAGGGTATGATGTTTTCATTTTGGCTTTTTTCTCTTTTTTTAAATTATGTTGTATGCATTTTTAATCTGTCAATCAAATTATTTATGAAAATGCTCTTTGATCTGGTGCACAGTGTGTGCTTGTGTAAATAAAGTCAGAGAGAGAGAATTGTAGATCCTATCCTGCATATATTAAAATAGTAAAGGCTAAATTAAGATATACTTGCATTTTAAGAAAGAAGGTGATTTCTTTTAAATAGCTGTATGAAATGATGTGCTATACAGGGGCATAATGGCTCTCAGACCACTTATCTGAGTATTTTCTTCCACCACACAGTCTGTCAAATTTGGTGTCTTTCCTGTGTTTTAACTTCATCTACCAGTGTGCTCCCATGTGCACCTGTGCAATTTAATACAACAGCTCTACAATCTTACCTTATTAAGCTTTGGATGTTCCATTTCCAATGGCACTGTGTCAGTTAGGAGCTGAATTCTATTACTGGGGCTTTTATTTTCTCCACTCTGTTGCATCCTTTTCTGTTTCCTTGATTCTGAATCTGCAGGCTAACTGGGTCAAATGTGTCAACCACTGAGAGGAAAACATTCCTGTGAACTCTGATATTTTGTCCTTTATATTACAAACTAAATCACAAACTTCTTGGTGTCCATTTTGAATATTAATGTGCTTAATATCAATATTACAAAACAACTCCAAGCTAAATTATTACTATTATTTATTCTTGAATACTGTTGTGAAGAGCAGTTCTGGAGGAGGAGCTGACTGAAGAGGAACAGGAAGAAGGAGTAGGCTGCTTTGCTCAGAGCCTATATATAGAGGAGTGAGTTCAGCTGTGAGTCCTTTGGCAGAACCCTGGGCTTGCAGTTGAAATGGGAGTTATGTTTGCAATATACTGACGTTTCAGTTACTTATATTAAGTTAGAAGGTGAGAATGATTGTACATTGTGTTCATTCTTAGTCAACACAGCCAGATAATTACTCCTTATTATTAGATTTATTTATGTTTATTATTACCTCTCTTAAGCTCATTTGTTTGCAAGATTCCTTGTGTATAATAATAAACGACAGTTAAATGAAGTGGACTGGTTATCAACCCACCTCTCACACAGTCCTGAACAACAATATTTTACAAATACTATTTCCAGTAAATCATAGTTAAACCTTTTATCTTTATTTATTCTTTTTCTTTCCTTTTTTGTTTTTGTACATTCATTTGCCTTTTTCTCATTTCTTTTCATCTTCTCTTTCCCTGCAGAGGAACCTTTTCCAGTGGGGGAACACAGGGCCAGGTTCAAATCAGCTGTAGCCTGTACACAATTTCACACAACACCAAACCCCTTTCCAGAGACTATAGCATGCTCCTGTGGCTATTAGGGGAAGGTGAACACTTGAGATGTGTCATTCGGCAAATCAATAACTCTACAAAGCAGCTCTTCTCATGTATGTCACGGCAGTTTAAGCTTTTTTTTTTAGAGGTTTGCCCTCTCCAGCTGCAGTCTTCCTTAGACCAAAGTGCAACGTAGAAAACTAACAGCTGGGGCAGCTGGGAAAGGTTTCGCTTTCTATCTAAAGATGTCTGTGTTTGGTGAAATGTCCCGTCCATCGTGTACTTCAGCTGGTGCGCAGGAGAACATTAAACTCTGGATACTTTAATGGAGGTTCGATCTTTCGTTGGTCGTCTGGTTCTCCCACCAAGGAAATGCTTTACTAAACGCGCTGTATGAAACGTAACAAACAACGTAAGTTAATAAGCCAGCTTTGAGCAGGGACGTTGTTAAGAGTCAAACACTGGCGGTACAGTGACCCACCTCCTCCCAGGCTCCTCTGCGCTCAGGTCCCTGGACAGCATTGAACTCTTGTTCAGCGGGCCCCGGGTGGAGAGTTCCGGCTGGAGATCTTCTACAGAGGATTTCTTTCGTTTAAGTTTCGACTTTGAATGATTTTCAGCCATTTCAGTAAATTACTTTTCACAACAGCTTCGAAAATACGCGCCAGTGCGAGTCACAGGGAATTCCTCCTTCCTGAAACCACACGTCACTTGATTCTAGCCAATCAGAAAGTTTTCTTCTCCCGCGCACGCGCATAAGCGCACACTCGAAAAAAGTGAAGGTAAAAGTCATTATTCATAAATCTATGAAAATATAATGTGAACATGTGACTATAGTTAGCTAAATAAATTGAGCAAACTCCCCTCTTATGTTTAATATGCAAAAACTGGTGGACGTGGTGATGTGACAGGTGATTCTTAAAGCTGCAGTAGGTCATTGCTTAAAACTGTACCTTTCCTAAAACTACTAAAATATTGCTTTACCTGACTTGTTATCAGAGTTATCAGAGTTAATGCTAATAAGTAACTCTTCTAACTAATCTAGGTCATCCTACATGGGAATAACTAACAGGTTTAGGTTACAACCTAAATACCGCATTGCAAATTACATGAGCATGAAATGTATATGCAATACATGAATTAATAATAATAATAAAGTGTCTAACATCAATTTTTACTTTTACAACATTTCAGCCTAATCTGATGATAAATCTGCAATTAGCGTACAAAATCTTCACTGACTTTCCAGTTGTTGTTCCCACTTGAGGAATTCTTCACTAAACTTTGACTGTTGGGAACTCATCTTTCCAATTATTCCAACACCATATGAATGCATCAATTGGTCATTAAAATCTAGTTGCATCATGACAGATCAAATAAATAAACAGGGACATTAATGAGCAGTGTCCATATATGTATAAATGTTCTTGTCAGTATATGTATAAGTATATGTATTTATCTGATGTATGCTATAGGTAAAACTAAATGTTGCAGTGCTGGTAAGCCTGGGTGCTACCCAAACCCAGATCTTAGAAAAACTCTTGAAACTCCTGCCAGAGCTCGCTGATGTGCACAAACCTGTTTGAGAAGAGTTACATCACATGCAGTTACGCGTGCATTATTACTATCTGTTACATATTCCATTTTTAACTTACCTGATTCAAAATTATGCATTCAGTCTTGTTTGGGTACATTAACATTTGCACAATAATGCCATTGCTGTAAATACCAAGAGAAAAACAACATGGAAGATTAACTTAGAAGTCGCCATAATAATCCAGTGGACATATAATTTATTTTGATTATCCAGGAAAAACCCTTCCCCTGTGCTTAATTATGAATAATTATGTGCAGTGCACATGGCTACCTGCTGCTGTGTGACAGCCATTTAATACACTTAAAATAAAGAACTTTAGGAGTGTCAAGGTTCATACTTGACCTTGGTAGTTTGAATTTAAAAGACACATTTACCTTTTGTTCTTAACTGACAAGCATCAGATAGTGATGCAAATGAGCTATCTCCATGAAAACTGAGCAAAATAATAATCAAGAGATAGATGTGATTAAAAGCTCCATAAAAAGCTAATAAATTGACCTGATCTATGTGCTTGCACAGGTAATCCAAGCTGTTGGAACTAAATGTTAAATCCTCTACTAATAACACGTAGGGTGCTTTGCCTCCTCAATCAGGGGCCCGTTTCAGAAAACAGGTTTAGTGAAAACTCTGAGTTAGTTAACCCTGAGATGAGGGGAAACTCTGGTTTTTTCGGTTTCACAAAGCCAGTTCAGCTTAACTCTGAGTCAGTTACCCTGGCAACATACTCCGTGAACCTAACCTGCTCACTGACAGGTTTTCTTCAACTAACCCTGAGTTTCTCCTGCTCTTAAGTTGAAGCCTGCAGACTGAAGGCAGTGGCAGACATGGCGTGTCCTTTTCTTGAAGAGCCAGTTGATGTCGAGGCGCAGATACTCCGCAGAAATGTCCATCGGGAGAGGATTATTAGACCCTGATTGGAAGTTTTCCCTGATGAGTACCTGTTTGAGCGTTTCTGTTTCTCTGCATCATCAATAATTTATCTAAACAATATTCTCATTCCTCACATCGTTCACATGACACATCGTGGACACACTCTCAGTTCCAAGCAAATTCTCTGTGTTGCACTGTGTTTTTTTGCCAACGGCAGTTTTTTGTATAACATCGGTGATGCAGAGCATGTTTCCAAGGCAACTGTCTGTCGGGCTGTCCAAAATGTGACACCTGAAACAACTACTATACACGTTTGTACTGTTCCCAAGTCACAGACCCACCAGACTTCTCAAAGAAGAGTTCCACAGATTTGCAGGTATCAATCTAAGCAATAATTAATTTATGTCATAAAGCTTTGAGACTTGAAGCACTAATCAGTCAATTTGATATATTTGAGGGTTTCCAGGTGTGATTGGCTGCATAGATGGCACTCACATTCCTCTCATAGCTCCTTCAATAAATGAAGGAGATTATGTGAATAGGAGATCTGTCCACAGCATTAATGTACAGGTAGGCCTAAATAGTAGCCTTTAACATACCAAGTGAAATATACTTCACTATACAGCTAATTACTGTTCTCCACTGTGAAGATCATATGTGATGCAGCCCACATGATAAACAATGTGGAAGCGAAGTGGCCTGGGTCTGTGCATGACTCACAAATGTTTCGTGAGTCTACACTGAGTGCCAGATTTGCCCGTGGTGAGTTTATATACAGTACATAGCTATATCCTATGATCAATATTTTGTTTCCTCCTGTTGCAACTAAAACGTTAAACTGTATCTTGTATTATCATAGGAGAGTTCGATTGTTACCTACTCGGAGACAGAGGGTACCCCTGCCAGCGCTATGTGCTGACCCATTACCCTGACCCTGAGCCTGGCCCACAGCAACACAACTTGGCTCACTGCAGGACACGAGCCAGAGTGGGGCCCGGTTCCAGTGCCTTTGTAGGCTCTGGGTCACCCCAGAAAGGGCTTGTGACATTATAGTGGCATGTGTGGTTCTCCACAACATTGCCACTATTAGAGGAGAACAATGTCCTACTCTTTCCCCCAATGATCCAGATAATAATCCTGACCCCCCTGCTGATGCACGAGATGGAAGAGCTGTTAGAGACATGATATGCTTCAATCATTTCTAACTGACCCATCACCTCCCCAGTGTCAAAGAACGACTATATGCCTCTCATTTTCTGAGGTTGTCTTTATTTCCTAGGGCCCTGTTTATCGATTTCACTTCTGCTTTTAATAGCATGCAGATTCACATCCTGCTGCAGAGACTTATTCATATAGGAGTAAACGGTGGTATTATCCACCTTGTTAGGGACTTCCTCTCTGACTGCCCTCAACAGGTTCTGGTCAATAATACTCGGTCCGACATCATTGTGCTCAATACTGGTGCCCCGCAGGGGACTATTTTATCCCCATTACTTTTCTCGATATACACAAACGAATTCCAATTAGATCTGGAAAAGTTTTGTTTGTTTAAGTATGCGGATGATATGGCCCTGGTTGCCTTATTGAAGAAGGGGGACATAGTGGGAGAGGAAGTATACCGAGCATATGTGTCATCTCTCCTGAAGTGGAGTGAAATATTTAGGTACATATATTGATTGCAACCTAAATTTCAGTGAAAACACTGACTATATTTTTAAAACCTGTAATCAGCGTCTCCACTTACTAAGCAAGCTCAACTCCTTTAGAGTGAGCAAGCATATTATGGAAACAGTTTATAAGAACCTGATAGAGGGCATCCTAACTTTTAACATGGCAATGTGGTACGGTAATCTAAACATAAAAGGAAGAAGCAAGAATAGTAAACATAACCTCAAAAATCATAGGTATAAGACAGAAACAATTAAGTTGTGTGTATGAGGATGTGCTTAGGAAAAAAGCTGTCAAAATAGCAAATGATCCCTCTCATCCACTTAGATATAGGGAGTTTGAACTTCTTCCCTCTGGTAGACGATACAAAGTACCAAGGGCAAATCGTAATATCTTTAAAAATTCCTTCATCCCGAGTGCCATTGGAGAACTGAACACTATGTCCTGTTGATGCGTTTTTAATGTAACTGCCATTGCTGTCCTGCTTTTTGCCCTGAAGATGTTTGAGTGTAAGTGTTGTTGTTGTTGTTGTTGTTGTTGTCCTCCTGCTTGTTGTTTTTATGAGACCAAAGACAAATTTCCACATTGTGGACAATAAATGAAACAAACAAACAAACAAACAAATGTTGTACAGTTGTTAATCCTTTGTTGTTGAAACAATTAAAAAAATCATCCACCTGTGGGCACGTCACCCACCTTTAACTGATGATCCAGCAGTTGTATTTCCATTTTTGTCTTGGTGATCTGCAGCCTTATATGTTCCATTTCTAGATGTGATTTGTTTAATTGTGATTGTAAATATACCTTGTAGAGTTCATTCACAGGGAGCTATAGGAACATAAACGACGTTGAATTTCACAGCGCCATGTCTACTTAGTGTCATTGTAAGTTGTGGGTCAATGCTGAACAACATCTTACTGAGGTAAACTGTGCTGTGGAGGTTGATGGACCTTCTTCATTGTAATTTCCAGCATTGTTCTCTCTGTTAGAGAGAACGAAGTTGCAAGTTGTATTGTGGAACAACACTATTAACTGAAACCAAAGTTATTTATAAAAAATAAATAAAAAAAAAGTGTAAACCTCAACAGGCCTCTCTACATCTTCCCTCTCTGTGGCAGCTGATAAGGTGTCTTCATCATCC